GAATAAGATGGTTTGGGATGTTCTGTGTGATATACACACACATAAAAAAATCAACATTTTTTTAAATGTATTATATTTGAGGAGAAAGCATGGAAATTTACATTATGCTAATTAGTAGAGGCAATAAACATTACTATTGAAATCTATTCGATGACTTTATAGACATACACAGGGGCCAAGGATCCAAGTGCAAGTGATTATGACTAGTAATAATCAGATTCATACAGACTACAGTTGCGTGTGCCAACATCTCAGTAGCAAAAACAATGAGTCTTTCTGCAAGGAACAATATGTTCTAAAATGAAATGGAGATCTTTTTTAAAGGTTAAAAACTCATTCAATTTTATGTCTTACAGGGATTATACTGAGTTCAATATTGTATAACTGTATTACTTCAACTGTGAACCTAGAAACTTGCACCCACTTGTGAAAGAGATGTACTCTTGCTCTGGAGTGTGTTACTGAATATGTTAAAGCTGTGATGAAATGCTTCTTCTAATCATGTAGTTATTAAAAATTTAAAAAATAAATAATGATTAAAAATAATAATAAATAAATAAATAATAGGATCACTTTTCTTACAAAAGATTTCTGAAGTCCTAAATTTCACCCCAAAGCAGACAGAGGCTGCTTTGTCTAACTATGGCAATATAGAAAACTAACTTAAATCACCAAGGCCTTAAACAAAAACCTATGATTACCATCTCCCAAGATTCTTGGCAATGAATGAACTCATCAAGGTAGTCCTCAGTCAAGGTGTGATGCAGTTGCAGCCAGATGGTTGACTGGGGCTGACATCACCAGAAGACTTGACTGGGCTGGATGTTTAGGTTAGCTCACTGCCATAACCCACACCTAATGCTGACTAATAATGACTAATTCAGCTAGGCCTGAAAACTAGAGGGTTTAGATGCAACTTCTCCATGTGGGTTGGAACTCTCAAAGTATGGATTCTAAGAGAGAACATCCTAAGAATATACATTCCAAGAACCAAAGTAGACTATGTCAACCTTAGGATGTGGACCCATAAAGAAGCACATTGCCAGTTCCACTGTGTTGTAGCAATCAAAGTAACCCAATAGGCACTCATACCCAGAGAGGAGAAATAGCCCACCTTTCCTTGACCATAGTACCAAAGAAGGGCTGATTATTTTAATAAGCTGTAATGTCCATTAGGATTTTTAAATGTTGACATGTTAACTAAAAGCTATTTGTAGAGCCAGGGATCAAACCCAATGCCTCATGTATGCTAGGTAAGAGATCTACCACGAGGTTACACCCTCAACCCTACTGAAAATCTTAAAGCAATAGGAAATCTTTTGCAGCATACTATACCTAAAATAAGAAGGCTAATATCAGAAAGATGGTCCATTTTACCATATAATCTCATTTTTGTTCCTGGTAAGAAGGTTAAATAAAATACTTTGTTCCTTTACCACCACCATCAACAACAGGAAAAATACCAAGGAAGGATCTCTATGGTGTGTGTGTGTGTGTGTATGTGTGTGTGTGTGTGTGTGTGTGTATGCTCATCCTTCAACAGTCGCTGGCTGTGTTGTATGAGGCTTCTGATCTCTGTCAATTTGCCTGTCTGAGGCACACATTTCTCTACCCATGGACTCAGTGTGCAGGAATCAGTTCTCTGAAGGAAAGGTCTGAAGAAGTCTATACTCCTTATGTTTCACATTTGAAAGAACGCAGTATTTATCTTTCTGAGTATACCATATTCCACTTAATAAGACGTTATTTTATATTCTAAATTTCTTTCCCCTTATCTCCCCCTTGCCTAGGTGGAGTTTGCTCCTGATATTGGTCTTCAATACAAAGGAGAACTGACAGTTGTTTTACGTTATATTCCCCCAGAGGAGACCCTGATGCTTTCACTAGGACAACCTAAAGGTAGAGTAAAAATTGCTGAGTTTGATTAATGACATTCTGTTTCTATCAGTGTGAGAGTAGAGATGAGGACTTGATTGGACTATGTTATTTTTACACTACAATGATAAAGCTGAAAGTGTTAGGTGTCACTGTCTTTGGAGAGTTGAGAAGTACATCTAAACACACACACACACACACACACACACACACACACACACGTATAATGCAGGAGTCTTACAAAGAAAAGACTAAACTCAGAAACCAACCCTGATGAGGAGACTCATTTCCTGTCAGTTCCAGAGACACAGAAACTTTTCCAATGTGGGAGAACTCTGTTGTGGAGTGTGGAGTGGGGGTTCTAGGAAGCTTCTATATGGACTTTTGTCATTCACAGCTACTCATGGAGTCTAGAGAGAAAAAAATTCTGGCATGAAACACAGAAAACAAATCTTTCCAGTTGAAGTCAATTTGAAATCTCTCTTGTCTTTCTCCTTCCATGCATTTCTCTAGGCAGCCGCCTTTATACTCCCATTCACGGTCACCTTGAATGTGTTCCTATGCAAGTAAATCACTGTCACTCAGTCTGAGTTTTCTCACTTCTCACAAAGGAGTGTTGTAAAGATTTAATAGGCTCATACATGTAAGCTCCTTCAAAGTGTATTAAATAAAGGTGGCAGTCCTGCAGTGATTATTGCAGGTGTTGAATACACTACTTCAGAATAACAATGGGAAGTGAAAAAGAATTTTCTCTAACCCACACCCTCTAGAGCTGACCCAGTCTGAAGTTGACAGTTTACAAAAAGGAAGTTACATGAGCATGCTTCGCTGGTGAGATTTGAGGGATGCATTAGTATTTTCTCTACCCCTGATCTGCTATGTTCCATGAGCTTTAACTCCAAGGTGCAGAGAATAAGACTGCAGAGTGTGTGTCCCTGGATAGGACTCATTTATTAAAACTCACCCACCCAGGCTCAGGAACCATTGCAGAAACAAGACTGGAAAGATTGTAAGAGCCAAGGGTGGTGGATAAACATAAGCAAATAGAGTTTTCCAGGTATCTGGGATTTTGATCATATGAGCAATGCTGATAGTATGCACAACACCCATGCAATCTCAAATAAGATCGAAAAACCCAGCATAGACCTGGGGAAATGGGCAGCAGGCCCCAAACTTAGCAGAAGTGCCATTGACAGCTGATTATTGCTGGGTAAGGGAGAGCTGATCTTCTTTAAGATCTAAATAGGCGATTTAACTCAAGTGGACGAACTTGCACTGAGGGACATCTGGGTCCACAAATTTGATAGGCCTTAACATGTATGACAGAATGCAAGAAATCTGGTGGGGGGCTATGGAGGATACAAATGGAGAAGGTGGTCTAACTATAATTAAGTTGTAGTGTGTGACAGCACAAAAATTCAATAAAAATATACATTAAGAAAAAAATGGAAAGTTAGGGTATTTTCTCTTTTGAACCAGTTTAATACATCAAAGGAAGTCATACAATATCTCTTCTGGAGCTCTGGTGCTTGGATCTGGCTTTCACCATAGCTCTTTCTCAGCAAGAGCAGGAGTGGTGGCTTAGTCAGCTCGCAGGGTCTTTTCTGTTCTATTCCTTTGGATGCCTCACAGGGGAGTTGTGAAAGATTAAAAATAAGTTAAAAATAAAAATAAAAAAGAAGAAATGAAGTTGGGATGGAGATATGTTGGGAGGTAGATGTAATGGGCAGGAAGACCAGAGGGAGTTATAGGGTGCTGGGTAGATATAATCAAGATACATGGAGTACACATCTTAAAATTTCAAGGAGTAAAACAATTAAATATATATTATATATATAAAATATAGACAAATGGATTGCTCCGCAGTTCAGAGCACTGAGCATTGGCTACTCCTGTGGAGGACCTGGATTCAGTTTCTAGCACTTACGTGGTGGCTAACATCCCTCTGTAACTCCAGTTCCAGGGGATCTTACAGTCTTTTCTGTCCTCCTCGAGCACTGCACGACATGGTTGCACTTATATGCATGCAAGCAATAAACTCATACAGATAAACATTAAAGATGATAAATAAAATATTTTTAAAATACAGACAAATGAAAGAACTTTGCAGAAGGAATCCAGCATGATAGACACACTATATAGGAATGGAAAGGCCTGATTTTCAGAAAATGAAATAGATCTTTGTAGATGTTTTGTAAATTTTGAAGTGCTTTATGACTGAGCATTTTCCCATCCCTGAGTCTATTAGTATTCTTCCCATCCATTGGAAAGTTCATGGTGGCAGTCTATAGCACAAGACAAATTAACAAGATAATCACGTAACAAATTTGCTTAATCAAAGATTTAGATGGCCTGAGATTCTTTAGAAGTGAAGATTTTAGACAGGGTATGGAGGCATTCACCTTTAATCTCAACACGTGGGAGGGAGGCAGAGGTAGGAAATCTCTGTGCGTTCAACATCAGCCTGGTCTACAAAGAGTTCCAGGCCAGTCACTGCTACAGAGTGAAACCTTGTCTCCACAAAAAAGAAGCAAAGATTTTTAAGGATTTAGGAGAATCTGTTCTCTCTCTCTCTCTCTCTCTCTCTCTCTCTCTCTCTCTCTCTCTCCTTGCTGGTTGTTGCAGGAAAGAAGACCTTTAAAAAGGGCAAGAAGAAAGAGGCACCTGTAATTTCCGGAGGAATACTTGAAGTGTTCATCAAAGAAGCAAAGAATTTGACAGCAGTGAAATCAGGAGGCACTTCAGACAGTTTCGTGAAGGGGTAATTTTGTTTTACCTCATCTCAGAAGACACTTACTGGGATTTCAAAAGAAGTGTGATCCGCTACGAGGTGGTAGCTGTGACAGTCCCACACACTGCTTATTGGAAATGAACTCTGGAAGAGCAGGCTCTGAGTGCGGAGTCTCACATCCAGAGCGTCTGAGTGGAAAGGAGTGCTTGTTCTAGCTTACTGTGTTCCCAGCGTAGTTTTGGAGTTCCTTTCACTCTCACCCTTAAGACTAGAAGATTTTCTGAGGATATTTACTTCTCAAAGGAGAAGAAAGTATGATTTTCTACATGTAATTTGCTTTTATTATGTTTTCTTGTCCTTTGGTGCTAGCAATATCCAACATTCAAAATATCAGTTACTTGCCGGTTTGCTCTCATGGGGCAAACTGTGAAATGTACAGAAATATGAGCATCTTCCCCAGAGAGTGAGTAGGAGAGGCTCCAGGACTGCCTGGTGGAAACTTGTTACCACATGAGCAAATGGCAGTTTCTTAAAGGAATAGTGCCCATTAAATGGATATTCTTGCTCATTAAAGGCAACCCAAATATCAAATCCTTATTGATTCGGACTTTTTCTCCTGCAATTAGAGGAACTTGGACTAAAATTATATTCTCCATTAATTCAAGAAAACACCCAGTTGTTTATGTACCGAGTTCCAGATGCAGAACTTTCAAAAATAAATGAGACATGCTAGCTGACCTCACAAAGCCCATGAAACACATGAGGGAAAGCAAGTTCCCATGATGCCAAGTCATGGCCTGAATCTTTAAAACATATAACTATTTGTGAGCCAGTCCTGCTAGCAATGCCTGTCCCAGCACTTGAGAGATTAAGCATGAGGATCACCAGGTTGTGGCCCTCCTGGGCTATATAGCAAGTGCCAGGCTAGCCTGGGCCCCATGGTAAAATGATGTTGCTTAAAAAATGGTGTATTTCCCCAGAAGTAAATGACTCATGCCTTTATTCTCATATGCTTCGAGTTTGGTAAATCCAGTAATGAGGAAAAACAGATATCTAGGGCTTCCCCATCGGTGATTGCATATTCCTGAATCCCAGTCCACCTGCTCTTCCTTCTTTCTTGCAGTAGATTTAAGCAAAGAAGAAATGCTTTCTTTGCATCATGCTACTGCAGTTTTCCTCACCAGCCACAGCATCCACTTTAGGCCCATGCTCATTGTCCTCTTGTGGGGTAAGAGTACAGTTCTCTACCTGTGGCCCTATTGTGGCCTTCTGCAGCAACTTAATATCTTCCGGAACAGTTTTCACTTTCTATCTGAGAGTTTATTAAGCACAGACAATAAAGGAAATTACTTCATACTATTTTTTTTAAAAACCTGACTTAATTTTCTCTTTTAGTTATACTTGAATATTAAGCCAATAAAAATAATCTGAGATTATTTTTTCAAAAGGGTCAGCTCAAGAAAGAAGAGATGATAGATATGCTACTTATCCTGATTTGACTATTCATATATATATATATATATATATACATTAAATTGGGCAGAGGACAGTGGGGGAAGGTGTGGATAGGGGAGGAGACTTAAGTATCATCAAACTGTATTGTATGAAGATCATAAAAATTCAATAAAAATAAAATTAAATATATATATAAATTACTTAATTACATATGCACTACTTGTGAACTAAAATATTTGTGGCTTAAGGAAAATATCAGGGCCCATGAGATGACTCAGCTGATAAAGGTGCTTGCCACCAAGCTGATGACCTGGGTTTGATTCTTGGAACCACCATCATGGAGGAGAGAACCAAATCCTGTAGTTTGTTCTGTGCCTTCCACAGACATGCCATGGCACACTCCCACTCTAAACAAATAAATATTTTTTAAAAATTAAAAACTATTAAAAGAAGCACATTGGACTTTTTCTCGTGTATGTAAACAATGACTGAAGGTGATGTATCTAGGGCAGATATGGGGGTGGGGCTACCTGATTATCAGGGATATGGATGATTTTCTATACCATTATGGTATCTACCTCACAGACCAGGGGAGCGAAACAGATTTCAGCTATCTCATCCAAATTCCAGCTAGTAGGATATTTCCCATAGCTTTTATATAAAGCTAATTCTTACAGTTTGTTGGCCAGAATATAGTTCCTTGGCTATGTGAGTTACAGGAGACTCTCATTGAATGTGATCTTTATTCTGGGAAAACTTGTGCTCAAATTTAAAACTGAATATTTTCAAAAGGAGAATAAATGTAGAAAGGAGACTGAGAGATAACAGCATTCTCTGATTTGTTTTTTTTCTTTTGGGTGCTAGTGCCAGGCACTCGATCCCAAGACTTGTGAATGGCATGCGACTCTACTGCTTCTGCCACTCCACTGCTTCTCAGCCCTGATTGATACATTAACTGAAATCTCACATGACCTAATTATCTTCTTTATTTCCGGGACATTGACTTTTATTTTTCACAATTGTCTCATGTACTGATTCCATACACCCACTCGTATTCTTCCCTAAACTATGTTTCCTGGAGGTTTGATCACAACACAGAAGCCCTAGGGTATAGGTATTCTCTCTGAGATTTCCAAAAAACATCAATGAAAGAATGTAGAACATGAAGCAGGAGTGAAAAAGGAAGCTGATTTCAAAGATAGGTTGATGGGCAAGTAGAGCTCCATTCCACTTGGAAGCCTCAAGAATTCCATGTAGTGTTCCTTAGGATTATCCCCTGAAGAGCAAAAGAACTTGAGGAACTTCTCAATCAATTTCTAAAAATAATTGGTTGAGGAATATTCCTCAAGCCATTGAGTTCCCAGTAACTTCAGGTGCTCTAAACATAAGTGGAGCCAACTCACACAGAACCAGAGAATCTGGCGTTCCAGGTGGGAAGCAGAAAACATGCCAGGAACTGTCCATCCTGGTTGCAAGTCAGCTCATAGATTATCTGAGAATATACAAAGCAGGGTATTCAAAAGTGTCTACCACAGCAGGTAATTTGTTTACATGAAAAAGGACCAAAGTCTTGGAAGTATTTGGAAAGACAAAAATAAGATTAGAAAAGGGAAAGATCATTTTACTATTGTGCCATTTATAAGTTATTTCACAAAATAAAACCATGGTTAAGCCTATGGGAAAGAAAATCAAGTATACGTATCTCATTCACACACAGTTACAGAGAAGTATTGGAAATTCAAGTGACTATTTCCTCCCTGATGGTTTGACTGTGCTTCCTTCTGCAGCTACCTGCTCCCTGATGATAACAAAGCCACCAAGCACAAGACTGTTGTCATAAAAAAGAGTGTTAATCCTCAGTGGAACCATACATTCATGTTCAGCGGCCTGTATCCTCAGGATATAAAGAATGTTTGCCTAGAACTTACCGTCTGGGACAAGGAGGCCTTTTCCAGCAACATCTTTCTAGGAGGAGTCCGTTTGAATTCTGGAAGTGGTAAGGAACTTGCAAACCTACAGATGGTCTGTTACTGGGCATGAGGCAAGGACAGATTTACTTTAGGTGTGTTGTGTAGTAGATGTTTCTATAGTTTGATCTACAGCTGTTTCCTGAAGTTATCACAGGTGCCCCATTCCTTTAGATTAAGATCTGATCACTGATAAAATATAAATGTTACTTTGGTAACTTTGTACCCTCAGGCTCAGAGTTGAGAAGGTAGAATATTTATGCTCAAGCTTTTCATAACAAATGTTAACATTTTCGTGTAAGTAAATTTCAAGTACTTTCTTGGGCCTCTCTTCTGGTTTGACTTACATAAGGTTGATCAAGGCAGTACAGACTTCTGAAGGGGGGCGAGGAGAAAGTCCTAAGGCCTTCTTCATTTCTTTCCAGTCCTTCAAGTTAACACAGGTGGAGTTGAAAGGTAACCAGATTTTCTGTGAAAACCAACATCTAATGTTGTTCATACAAGCAATTGAGACAATTCATGTTATAAAATATAACAGGGTGAACTGGGTAGGGAGACATGTTATAGTGATCAAGCACAGAGAAGACATACAATCTCCTCCCCAAATCTCTTTATCCCAGATCTCACGAAAGCCAGATGGTCTGCATGTACCATAATTAACATTTCTGTTGAGAATGACCCCCACTTATATGATGTTTTATAGATTAAGGAGAGGATGTGGTGCCTATGTCATTAAAATTGAAGCCTCCAGGATCAGAGAAGTAGCTATGTGTTGGAAACAGAGGCCTTTATAACTGAGGCCAGCCTGTGAACTCACATTAACATGTCTAGAAGAACCAGATTTCTCCTACGCTACCAAAGTAGGGAGGAAATGAAATGCCAGGGCCCTCCTGATTTCTCTGTATCACCTAGCACAAGGAAGTCATGGAGGCTTCAAAAGACTCGTCCATTCTAACACCTCTCACTAGATATGGGAAGTGAGAACAGGCCAGCAAAGGGCTTTCTGTGGCGAAATATGGGGGAGGGGGGGATGCAGGCGGGGAAGGGGGACTAAATATCATTAAGATGTAAGAAATCCACAAAAATTCAATTAAAAAATAGAAAAAAAGACCTCCCTAGAGATTGCCTTCAAGAAGATGGAAACATCCCCTGTGTGAAATGTTCTGCCCCTTTCCCTTCTACAGGTGTGAGCCATGGGAAAAGTGTGGACTGGATGGACTCTCGGGGTGAAGAGCAGCGCCTTTGGCAGAGGATGGTCGACAATCCCGGAAAATCTGTTGAGGGAGTTCTCATGCTCCGTTCCAGCATGGCAAAATTAAGGCTCTGAAGGGATCAATTCTCTAAGAACTAGGCCTCTGGGTGCCTGCCATTTTATATCAGTAGAAGGCTGTGACCTTGAATTCTGTTTCCTTGTCTTTTCCCACCTAAGGGTTTTAAGACTTAAAGGCAGAGATTTTAGTACTGTGAACATTTAGGGTCCTGTTGAATGCCTGAAAAAACCCATGTACTTCTTCTGTATGTCCACTAACTCTGGTGTCCCTGGTTGGACAATAGGAAGTATACCATAGCATCCTACCAATAAGCAAACTGCAATGGACCATAGGCTTTGTAGTGACAGCAATGACACAAACTTATTTGAAACTATTATTGAGATTGGGGGTTACTAATTTTTTTTTCTAACTGCATTGAGATATCGAAAAGCAGTTTGAGAAGAAGATGATAGATTGTTTTTAAATGAAAACAAAAAGAGATACTGTCTACGTTTTGCTTACCCTAGGAATGCTTGTGATACAAAGATGACACAATAGGGATGGTTTGGGGGAATGGAGTAGAGTCCTGTTACAATGACAAACTTCAGGTTTGAGAAGGTAACGTTTCAAGATGGACTGACAGGACTTTTGTGGTAATTATAGAATATATCACCTAGTTCAGCCTCCTTTTCAAGGCAAACAGAGACATATTACACCAGAAAAAAAACAGACATAAAGGGTCAATCAGTATATCTTTTCACATTCTGTACTCTGAGACTAACTAATGAAATGGGGGATACTCTGCCTGCTGTCTTTCTTGTGCCCTGACATAGGAGAGAGTGAGGGATTCTGTTTTTTCTTCTCTTTATCCAAGTTCTTATCTCCTTTTTGTAGTGGTTAGTTATTGCCATAATAATGCTAAATAACAAACCACCCCAAAGATCAATGACTCAAAAATAAGAATCATTTTTCTCATGACTTTGAAGGTTGGCTAGGGAAGCCCCGCTTCCTACTACCAGCCTGAGGGTCTAGGTCAGATGCTTATGTATCATCTCTTTGGACCAAAAGAATAGCCTGATCTTGGTGATAGCAGAAGTGTTATTAGATAAGTCCTTCTGCTCAACTACATAAATGTGCCATGTCCTGTTGGTCAAAGGAAAGTCATATGGCTATGTCCAAAATCAAAAAACAAGGAAATGTGCCCTGTCCACATTGACACCATGATAAACATGAGAATGCAGGTGAAAGAAACAGTGATGAACAGAGTCTATTATATCTCCTGTCACCTGGGTGCTTAAGCCATCAAATTTACATACAAAGGCAGTTAAAGCTAGAAGGGATGTCAAGCCTGGTTCCTTATTTTCTGGGTCTAAACCTGGGGTTCAGAGATCTGAGATGATTTGCTCAAAGTCACGTGGAGGCCATGAGAAAAATATGGACTTGACATCAAAGAAACTTTGACACAACTCTATGCTTATAGAAGTAGATAGAAGGCCATATGTCCAAGAAGATATATCAGTGTCTGATTATTTAAACACAACCATATACGGCCAAGCCAGATATGATACACACTTGTATTCCAAGCACTTAGAAGGTGGAAGCAGAACACTTCAGGGCTCAAAACCAGCCTCAGTTACATAGAGAATTTGAAATCAGTCTGAGTTACATAGCAAGAACATGTCTCAACCTTACCCAACAAGATATACATGATCCAGATATGTTCTGGAGGCAAATTCAAGCTCCCATAGCTCATTATTTTTATTTAAACACATATAAAATCCTTCAAAGTAAGTGAATGTTGGTAGCTGGAGAACCAAAATCATGTTCCGGCTCATTTTAGATAGTTGCTCCACATTTTTATATATCTTTTTAAAATTTGAAAACTGATTTAAGAATATAGTTAATATTCTTCATAGTAAAGGAATAAGCAAACCATTTTCAACACTGCTCAAAAATAGGCCATCTACAGAAAAATCAAGTTATCAGTCTAACATGGCTTAGTAAGTATGGTACTTTTAAAAGAATGACATATTGTTATGCTGTCCTTAAAAACAGTAAACAAAATACTCTATGATTAGCACTGCTTCTCACATTATAAAAATAAGTTGTCTTCAAATGTGGTATGACTCATATTGTCTTCAATGGCATTTTAGGGGAAGTGAGAGGGTGGTGATGGTGAAGTCTATCTCTGGTTTAGACACAACAAAGTAGATTTAGTCACTAATAAATTGTGGTAAAATGATAAATTCTGAAATTTATATCTTGAACTCAAGAAGAGCATGAACTTTATGTGTTCAAACCTTTGACACCTTCCTCTGTGTAAAGGATTCATGAAATCAAATATCTAACTGGATATTTCTGTATAGCAAATTCCAGATATGCAAAGTATATCAGAAACCTAGTCTAATTGCTCATGGGACTAAAAGGCAAACTTACCTTTAGATCATTCTCTTTTTTTAAGTAAATGTGTAAAATAATAGTTTAAAATGCAAACCAAGTGTGTTGGTGTACACCTGCAGTCCTAACATTCAAGAGACTAAGGCAGGAGGATCACAAGTTCAAAGTCAGCCTAGGTTACAATGAGATCCTATCCCAGAAAGAAAAGAAAAGAAATCCTATGAATGGCACAGAATCCAAATACTTAAATATTATGAAAAGTCATTCTCTCTTCCCTTCCTTAAAAAAGTATACGGATAGCCTAATTCTTTTTATAGCTATAGGTTATTATTTTATAGGAATACACTGAATATGTTTAGTCAACATTATCAAATGCCACATGAAATATGTATAAACCATCTAGGTTTAGTGGCTTCTCTAAGAATCTTTTCTTTCAAAAATAGACTTTGAATTCAAAATGAGATATCTATCTTCCCCACTCCTACAGAAGAAAACAGATATGTGAGAAATTAGGGCATAGGTATGTGTGTTGAAAGAGACCAGAAATGAGTCAACATCATGAAAAGAAGCCTGAAAATCACACCCTCCAGATTTTTCTGCTTCTCGTTGCCATTCACCCCTTCTCCTGCCTTTTCTTCTCTGAAGGCAGATTCTCTAGTGCTCAGTCTCTCTTTTCTCCTTACTTCACGCAGCCTCCAAGCCTCATTACTGTCTGCCATACTCATAACTTTACACATTTACAGCTTCAAACAGGTGTTTCCAGCTCTTTATCTCAGGCCTGGATCCTGAGAAAAATTCATTAAGCTAATCAGTCATTCTTGTCACATCCACATAAACCTCACTCTGAGATCATAGGGAAAACATGTAAGTCACAAATGTCTGTATCAGAGGCTGTCTTGTAAGTCCAATGCAACCAAATCACCTGCTATGACTTTAAGACAAATTTCGCCTTAGCAATTACCACTCTCGCCAATCAGACTTGCCAGCTCCCAAAAGACATGACCAGTCATATGAACTTCCTTCCAAAATAATGTGTGTTGCTTCCTCTTTCGACAATGAAGCCCTAATCTTTTCCTTTGTTCTCTGGAAATACCAGACACTGCTCATTTCATTTATCATTCTCAAATAAAACCCTTTATTGTGAATACTTATTTCTATATTTTTCTTTAATAGTGATAACCCAGATTTAACTGTCAATCTTACCTCCCCACTAAGATAGTTTGTTGAAAAATGTATTCAAACTTAACACTCCATCACCCTTGCACCCATGTCTTCCTGTATGCCCTACCTCAGTTTTCAGTAACACGTCATCCGACCAGTGTCAGTAAGGACACACCAGATATTAATTTTGATTTCTTGCTTCTCTGCCCTGAGGCAAAATCAGTCAGGGAATCATATTGATTCTACTTCTTTAAGTGTCTGTTAAGTTCTCTTATTGAAGTCTAAGCCAACATCACTGCTTTCCTTGACTATTTCAACAGTCTTGTAGCTATAATCATTTTTAAAATAAATTTTTATTTGTTTTTATTATTGCATATGTATATAGTATGCATGCTGCATGTACTTGTGGAAGACAAAGGACAATTTTGTGGAGTCATTTCTCTCTTTCTACCTTTAGATAGGTTCCAGAGATTGAACTCAGGTCATCAGGCTTGTGCAGAAAACACTTTACCTGCTGAGCCCTCTCTCTGGTCCTCCTAGCCGCAACCTTTACAATCACTCTTTTCTTCTATCCCTACGATCTCTATGCTGTAGCAGACTGTTTCATCTCCAAATAGTCTGTGAAATGCTCAAACATACAGAAAAGTCAGAAGAGTTTTATACACTCTTTATGTATGCTCATACCTACAACCTACATTCAGCATCTACCGTTAGTACGTGACTATACTTGCCTGTCATTGTGCATGTTATACCTGCCCATCCCCAGAGTGATCTACAAAACCTTTCTTCCATGGGATTTCAATTGCTCTGAGAATATGACACAAAGTCTTATCTATGGCCCAGCATAAGAAGGCCTTTTTCTCCATGTTATCCTAAGCTGTGCCAGCCTTCCTTTTCCTCCCTTTCTCTTTAGCCACCCTGAGAGATTTTCTTGTCCGCTTCAACCTGATTCCAAGAAATAATCCAGGTCTTAAATGCTGCTTCTTCAGGAAAACTTATCTCCATCCTGTGCTGAACTAGGTCTCAGAAGCCTGCCTTTATCTCCCCTTCAATGCATACATCAAAATTACAATAAATTATTCATGTAATGAGTCTTTTAATTCTTGTGTCTGTTCCCTCCACACTATGTAAGATTCATAAACACAAAGCCAATATATTTTCACAGCTGTATCCCCAGTTCTTATCTCAGAGTAAGTAATCAAAACTACTTGTGAAACAAGTAAAAAAAATATCACAGAGTGTTACATATGCATGCATTTTCAAAGACCACCATTTCAAAGAAGGGAAGGAGGGGATGGACCAAGGATACATAGGGACCTGTAGGTCTGAACTAGGGACATTGGCGTTTACTCTGAATGAAATGGGAGATTACTAAGGTTTCTGAGGTGACAAAACACCATGTATTTTAACAGTATCATACTGGCTACTGTATTGAGTACATGGTGAAGAGGCACCAATTAGCAACACTCTGGCTATTTTCAACTACAAGTAGCAAAATACCAAACTAAAGGTTTATAAGTAGCATAGTCATTATCTCATATAACGGAAGCTCCAGGAGATGAACTAAGTAGTTTACCAGCATTGGTGAGAACCCAGAAGGCCTTTTCCATTTTGCTGATGCCTAACACTTCTGGATATCCATGAAGTATTCCTTCAGGAATTTGAAGAGTGAACAAATCGATTTTTGTTATTATATCCTATACAGACAATGTGTATGTGTTGGGGGACAGGGTAACCCTCCTTTGTATTAGAAAAATATGTATCCTAGCCTACTATAATATCCACCATTAAGCTTCACATATTCAATATGTAAATGGGAATGTGATAATAATAGTTTCAGAATTTTCCATGTCATATTATATATAACAAATGAGGATGTGAACATGTAACACTGGAGTCTATAGAAAGTCTGCAAAGGCCCAAGGTCATTGACCCCTGGTAGTCTGCATGATAAGACCCACATAAGCACTTCAAAATGTCAAGAGATCAATGTCAGAACACACTTGCAACCTGGGACACTGTTTTTTTATCATATAACTTGTTACTGTGAAAATGAGTTTGCTAGGAGCTGGGCTTTTTCTCTGTACATTTCTCAATAGGCGGTGGGCCTCAAAGTATGGTACTTTTTTTCCATTTTACAACAGCATTTCTGGATTATCGTCCATGAACCCTTAGAGGCAGGCTTTTATTCTAGTTTGCACAGATGTGTTCTTCAGGGTAGCTGTGTCCTGGGTTAAGACTACTGATTTTTCATCACTGCCCTAGGCACAATGATGATGATTAGAATACCTAAATGAAACTGGAAGGAGGGGAGAATGTTGGAAAAGTAGCTGACAAACGTTTTTAAGTGGATGGAACTGTGTCAATGCTTTTTAGTAAATCTGTAGATAGCAGAGACAAATTATAAATTGGATGCTTTCATTTACTTTATTATTTCATTATTGCTCTTCAATGTGTTTAATAACTTCTTTCATGCACAAAAGGACCACCATTTCTAATTCCCAATTAACAGTAAGAAAGATGGAACCTACATAGATGAAGAAAAATTAATAAAAATGCTAACAGATTGATTTTGTAAAACTAATCATTCTAAGTTAATAGTACTAATAATGTATTATTTCAAAACAATTAGATATAATTTTAATATTCTAGTGACAAATGATAAATATTTAATGTGATGGGTATGCTAAATAGATTAACGTGATAATTCCATAATGTTCACATATATCAAAACACCGTACCATACTCTTCTAAATATGCACAATGATTATTTGTCAATTAAAAATCAATACTGTAGTAGAAGCCCTAGACAGGCGATCCCAGCACATCATCTTTTCAGAAGAATTGATGATTCCCTTGCCTGGAATGTTTCACACATTACTTGGTGATCCCAGCTCTCAGTTTTCTCTTGAATGAAGCAAACATATTATAAAGAGATATGGATAAGCTTAAAAGCCTGATTTTATCCCTACAGAGCATCAGTAACACTTGTAGCACAGAAAGATTCTGCTAATCAGCTCTCATTTCATTGACTCTGTTACCATCACTGGACTTACTCATCAGGATGTAGATTTTCTTGTCATAGAAACAAGGACATTTTGATGGAACATCATTTATCTTATTTTCCTTAAAGTGTTCACCAAGACATGACTAATGAGCACTTAAGTAACTGATGAATGAATTGAGCCCACCTGCTTCTGAGTAACAGGCATCGCATCATTCCCTGCTACTCAAAGGTTTCTATTTGGTTGAGGAAAAGAAATAAATTATGGAAGAAATAATGGGAAACTCTGCTTTTAGGAGAAAAGTTAGTAGAAAAATCACGTTCAAGAATCCTCTGAAACTGAAATGAGAATCTTCAGCAGTTTAGTTATGATCAATGTTTCTAATACATCACATTAATCTGAATACTTCCCCTAGAAGTTAACTTCTAGAAGTTAGAAGTTACCTTCTCTCCTATAATAGTATAATTTATGACCTCTTAAATAACAAAAGAAGCAATAATGAAAAATCTATACTCAAAAAATAATCAGGACTATTACTCCATATTAAGAATTTGAAAAGAATACCTGGAATATAAATTTAATACATCTATTCCATAGCATTGCTCCAAACATGCTAAACAAAATATACAC